TTTTTTTTTTTAAAAAAAAACGGGCCCAGTTCGGCAAGGTTGATATTATCGAAAGGAAGATTGAGGCCGGGGTCCTCACAGTCTACCCGGAGTGAACGTCCCTCATCTGATGATGATGCTGATGCTGCTGCTGCTGCTGATGATGATGAACTTATGGCCGCTACCCCCGGCCAGATGCAGCCTTAATTGGCTGTATAGAGCCAAGTAGAGCAGACTGTTGAAGTTCAGCAGTCTGCTGTCAACTCTCTGAGTCCGGATGCTTCTACCCCTGCATCTGGCCCTGTGTCGCGATTAGATGCGCGACACTCTTTTTTTTTTCTTTTTCACCCTAATTCTCCCCTTTTTTTTTTTTTTTTTGATTTGTGCCCCCCCTCTTGTTTTCCTGGGAGGGGCAACTTCAGGCAGCCGCTGCCTGTTCAAAATGAACGGCCGCAGTCAGTGTGAAGGGCCTCAAGGAGGGGAACCGAGGCCAGCAATAGGGTAAGGGACTTACCTCTTGGCCTTCACGTCCACTCGCTGTCAGCCTCCCCCGCCGCTGCAGCAGTAGTAGTAGTACTAGAAGTAGTAGTAGTAGTCATTTTTCCAAGTTCTAGCAGTAAATTCATTCGATTGTGCTCATCCTATAGATAAAGACCTCTTTGCAGCCTGTTTCTCAAAAACGAACGGGCGCAGAGAGGAACTACAGCTCATGAAAACGAGCTGAAAGGAAAAAAAAACAAAGAATCTAAAAAAAAATCTAAAAAAAATCTAAAGAAAAAGAAAGCAAAAAAACTTGTCAAAAAAAACAAAACGGCAGCCCGTGAAAACGGGCGCCTGCCACAACATATGGGACTCCAAGCCCCCATCAACCATGATCGCGCCAACTGGCGCTTCGTTTGTCGATTTAGTCTTAGTTTTTTTTTTTTTTTTTTTTTTTTTTTTTTTTTTTTTTTGACATATGTCAACGGTCATGTCATCACGTGGCTGAAAGCCACGATCCAAGCGCGAATCCTGAGGGACCCCCCCCATTTTTTTCCAAAAATTTGAAATAAAGAAAAAAAAAATTGGATCATTTCTCGATTTGAGTGTGTCATCCTTGCGCAGGGGCCATGCAGATCTCCGCGTGGCTGATTGCAGCCGCACGATCCTAATGATGGCGCGAACGAAATCAGTCACGCCTGACCGCCTGGGCCGCTTCAAAAGGAGCCAGCCCGAAGTCGTGCACAGATTCAATACCGGCATCTGCGGGGTGACAGTCTAGTGTGCTTACCTACTGGGCTGGCTCGTACTACGACTGTAGGAGGGGCAGCCCTACTATATGTATGTCATCCTTGCGCAGGGCCATGTAAACCTCCGCGTGGCTGTTTTCAGCCGCGCGATCTCAGCGATCGCGCGGCCGAAAACGGTTGCGCCAAAAGGTTGGGCCGCTCCAAAAGGACCTAGCCCAGTGGCGATGTCATCAGGGCTCAACCCTGGTATCTGCTGGGCAAGAGTCTTATGTGATATCCTATTGGGCTAGCTCCTATTCCACACTAGAACAGGAGCAACTCTTCCTTATGAAGAGCTTGGCCCAGTGCGATATCGCATGTGGCCTTACGCAAGCTACGTTTGTGTACCCCAGAAGCCCCAGCCGCATGCCAGTCGTGCTGCCGCCAATACGGCGACCATCTTACAGCACGACACGCATGTCGTGGCCACGTACATGGTGTGACCACCTATTTGGCCTACTAAGGCCTTGAATCGCGCGATCGTAGTAAGTCTAGCTTTAATTTTTCCATGACCGCGCACCCTTGCGGCCCTGTCGGGAACCGCGGACGCAAGTCGTACTGCCGACTCCCGCTCTTTCGATCGAACATCAACGACATCAGGCTTTAGGTCTCTTAGTCATAGGGTCGATCTAAATAAACTTTGGCGACGTCATTCTCATCAAGTCTCCCAAATCCAATGAAAAGAGTCGGACAACGTTTGACCTCGAAAAACTCGTGCAGAGACCCTCATAGGGGTTTCTGTCCCGACACCGCCTCCATCCTGTGTAAGAACGGAGTGCCCAAAATACAATCATGGTCTAGGTCTGGTACCACGAACCCCAATAGCTCGACTGACATTATCCCAACTCTTATAGGCAAGTCGTCAATAAACCCTGCCACGAAGAGTTCTCCAACAATATTACTTAGTATTTGTTTGGAGGGCCTATCAATGGTCAGGTCGCAAACTTCCATTGCCTTCTGAGAGATAAGTATCATCTCTGGCCCAGAGTCCACTAAGGCTCGGATTTTTACCTGATTAATATAGATAGTTAAATACCCACAGCCCATAGTCTCGAATCTCAGTTTACATCCAGGTAAGGTTCTGTTAACTTGATTGGGGAAAACTGACCCCAGGAACTTCCATTCTTTTCTTTTCAATTAGTTTTTTCAGTTCGTCTCTCAACTTGGGTGCTAGTGTCATTGCCTCCTTGAAAGACAAAGTCACTTCTGTTTCTTCTAACATCTTTGTAATTACATCCGTAATTACAGTTCCATCCTCTAGCTCACTCTTGAGAATGGATTTTCTCTTTTTCCCTTGCTCACTCTTTTTAGATAGAGGTTTTGGTTCTTGATCATCAAGAATGTCAATTAGAACCTCTTCGGCCTTTCTTCTCTTATTTTTCTCTATCATTTGTGTAGTGAAGCGTGTTTGAAGACTCCTCACTTCTCCAATCGCCTCATTGGGTTCCATGATGAGTTCCGGTGGTAGATCACCCTCAAAAGACATCATGTTGACCGAACTGGCAGACTCGCTGGAAGAAATTGTGACTAACTCAAAAGACATCATGTTGATCATAAAGTATCATGTCAGGTCTATAATCTCATAATCAAATTGCATGGCTTAGGAACCGCTGTTGATTCTTCTGGCAAGAGAGACTCGTTCTTTAGAAGAGTGATATGATATTTTCTCAGTAATTCCCACTTTCACCATGTTCAGTAAGTAGCTGATCTCAGTCTGGTCAGTGACGGCTCTCAAAGCAGAATCTCTCATCCGATCAAAGAAAGGTTGCAAAAACTCAAGTTCATCTAAAGCAGAGAGGTTTTTGTTTGAGATCCGAAGAGTCCCTTGTGCCTTGATAACTCTACCTTCCAATACAACCCCGAATGTTAGCTGCTCAACCGTACCAGGCATTATCGACCATCATGAACAGTGTCAGGAGAGGTAGATCTCAGGATGAATATAGTCAGAGACCTCGAACTGGTGTTCAAAAGTATTTAGAGGTAGGGACTTTATCATCACTATGGAGTCACTCTCCCTTGCACTACCTACTATGGTAATGGCTTCCAGAAGAGGCATCCAGTCTCTCTTGTCGTCATAACCATCAGTAGTTGAAAAATTAGGGAATCTCTCAAATTGCCTTATTCCTTCTCCCCAAGTTACTTTCCTCTGTAAGTTCTCCAACCACTCTTTTGTCCTTATAAGACTGATATAGGCCCCTAACCGGCATTCCAAATAATCAGCTTCCTTCTCTAGGCATACCGGAGTGTAAATCCTTATGTCCAAGTTGTCTGTGTTCAAGAACTTTACTACTGGAATGTGAAATATTATTCGTCCTCTCACACTAGTCTCGTATTTCAAGATTACAAAGGGATTATTGGACCTAGTTACTTCATAAAGCCTGCCTCTCACAGCAGTTCTCCTTGCTGCTGAGAGTATTCTTATTGAGCTCTCTTCACCTTCCATACGAAATCTATTTTAGTTGACCAGTTATTCCTTGACAGAATATCAGGCAAAGGAGGAGTTGGAAATCCCTCAAAGACTGCAAACCGAGTAGATCCAATGAAGCACTTATTTTCTCTCTCGAGTCTCTCTTTCTCTTTCAGCACAACTTCTTCGGCAAATCCCCAGCATCTCCCATACACAACATCAACACTCCTTTATTTAGGAACATAAATTCTTACATCATATGTGTCCAGATCTATAATGTAGAATGTCAGGACATAAAATTGATCCTGCTCGCATCCACTCTCGACCATCTCATACTTGACAATCTTGTATGGGAATACTCCTTTTTCACTTAAGGCGTTCAGTGATCTCAGGAGGCACTCGACCTTTTCCTTGCTTGGGCCTGAGCCTCTGCCAAATTTCAGTCTTCTCTGTTTGATTTCCTCGGCTGAAGTTTCTCGTGTTCTCATGAGAGTCTTCTCATTTCTTCCATCTCAGTACCATGTTAATTATTGACAACCAATTACTTCCGTTACAATAACTCTTATGAATAGCAGGAGTTGGAATTGTCTTATAGGTTACATGCATTAACCCCCATTCCACTTTCTTCTTTCGTTTGATTAGATTTGCCTTTTCGTTGTAGATCACCATCATTGCAGGCTCCTTTCTTGACATATAGGGACGAATATTATTGATGTCTCCCTCCAAGAAGTGGGTCAGTACTACACAGATGGTCGAACTGCCAGAGTGGTAAACCCAACAGTGCTCATACTGGTAGGGGAATACCCCTCTAATAGTAAAGTTCGAGAGTTTTTTCAGTGAATCAGTAGTTTGCATTCTTGATGGAATCTCTTATCCTCTGACTCGTCCTCTTCTTCCCTTGTTCTTCAAGGACGTTAAGGGTTCATAAGGCATACCTGTGATCAAGCGTGATCCTCTCCAATAAGTAATGTCAGTCTCCTCCTCCGGTCCAGTGTGGTACCTTACACATGCAGAGATAAGACCCAGTTGGCGACTGAAAACTTCCAATAAAATAAAGACTCACTCAAGATGTCAGAGTCAATCTGAAAATTCAGTCATTGTCAACACTTCTCATGTCCTAATCAAAGCTCAAAGTTGTTACTGACCCAGGCTCGTTCCGAACACGAAAGATTTTCATGTCCCCGACAACGATGCCATTTTTGTCGCACTTTTTCCAGTCGAGCCACTTCGGACGACCGAAAATCCAACAGGCTGTCACGCAGGATTTTGACGATTTTTGCAATAAATAAAATAAATTAATTAAAGCAAATCCCTTCCTGTTGTGTGCGTTCGACTTCGAGCGAGACCCTTCAATTGCGGTCTTCGCCGGTCCTCGGTCTTAGGAATCTTTTATTTTGATTCGGAACAGCAGAGAATCGTGCAAGTAATAATCACAAAATTCTGATATGTCATGTATGCATCAATCTTGCCAATTTACTAATTTTGAGAACTGTGACAACATCACCAGAGAACATGATCACCAAGCAAAACAATGTAGTCCATGCAAGACTGACTGACTCGAGCAAAGACAAGGGTAAATGAGGGGAAAATGACAACTCATAATAATCTCAGAGAGTACACATGGAGAGAGCATGGCCAACACTAATCACGAGTCCTCACTCATCCTTCTGAATCTCACACTCAATCTCTAATTTTTGTGCTTTCGGCCAAGTCTCCATACCCTCTGAGGTGTGGTCTCTCGATGTAGAGCCACTTGAAGCCTGCTCGTTCTGAGCATTTCCTTCCAAGTCCCATAATACGGAAGTCAACCATAGCACAAAATTCCTCCCATAGGGTAGGAAAATATGGCCGGCCTCGCCTGAGATGCTGAAACTCCGACGGCTCGGTCACCGCTGCATAATCAATCGCTGCAAGTGAAATGTACCTCTTTGCCAAATCAACCAAGTGACCCCAGCAAGAGTCGTCTGTGAGGATGAAAGGTACTGGAGGCTTGGGATAGTCGGAGTAGAGCTTGGGTTCGAAGGTGCGGATCAGCTTAGTACCCCTCTCATCAAACTCTCTCTCTCTCTCCTCAAGATGTCTGGCAGGTGCAATCCAGACTGAGTCGAAGTGCTCATGGGTTTCCTTACCCTTCTTCTTCAAGTGACCCTCAAGTCATGGATGACACCTCCTGCGAACTCTGTGTGGAGTACAAAGATAGATAGTTCTGCTCGCTTGAAGCCAGTTGCACTGACATACCGATACTGAAAGGCATCTCTTGAAGCAATTATGTTGAGAGTGGCCAAGACTGATTTACTGACTGGAGATGACTGAACTGCATTCATGGGCGGATCCTGATTTTGGAATTGTTCTATTCTGCTCTTTAATGAGAGTAAAGTCTGGGTGATATTTGACGTGGCAAGGGTGGAACTGATTGCTGATTGAATCTGACTGGGAGGCTCAAGTAACTTGAACGACCGAATGTTGATTGAATGCTGGTTGAGTGTTGTTTGATTACTGACCGAGTGTTGCTTGAATATTGCTGAATGTTGCTTGAGCACTGTTGAATGAGTTCTAACTGAGTGTCCTGGTAACTCAGTTGATTGAATGTTTGTTGGAGCAATGATCACCAAACACTGACCACTAGAAAGGGTTGGTGCTGCTGAAAGGCTCTTGTTAGTTGAAGTGCTAGAGGGGACCTCATGAGAAAAGTCTGGGTATCTCAAGTTTTTACCCGAGCCCCGCCCTGGCTTGCTCAATGACCTCTAGAGATGAGTAAGTACCACGCAACCTCCCGCCTGACTCATGAATGTAAACCACGCACTCAATAAACTTTTGGTTCTTTGCTAATCCAAGAGCCATTTTCCTCATCAGTTTCTGGCAGACTAGAGCATCCCCGACCGCTTGGTCCTCCCACTTCTCCGCTCTATTTCGATGAAGGGCAAGGGACACAACGAGAATGTCCTTGTTGTACATGTTTCCCCCTTCGTACATCAAGGGCACGATACTAATCACGATGGGTCATTCCCGCTTGAGTAGATGAGACTCTCAATTACGTACCCCGCGAAAGGTTTTGTAGGGCACTGCCCCACCTGTTTACGTAGCATGAGGGCGATGTCAGTCTTTCCCCCTTTGATGCCTGTGCCGCTCAGGACACTTTAGCAGTCACTTCTCCGTTCATCACATCACTTTTTATGGCTAGACTTCGACCTAATATTTGGAACTCAGCACTTGCAGTGAGTAGTCTAGTCACAAGCCAAGTCTGTACTGGAGACCGTTCACCCAAGCTCTGAAGATTTTCATATTTAATTTGACAAAACACATCCGTCTTTACTCAACGCTGAAACTTCGAGTATGATCCTTGCTCTTGCTTAAAGTTCAGGGTATGAGCTCAGTGTATGTCTCGTGACAACTTTTACTCGGGTACCTGTGGCGGGGTACCGCTGGTAATGATTGAGATTCACCTAGACACAGCGTATTACGTAATGGAATTTATGTTGTCCTACTGCATGCGGCTCCACAATCAGCGTGGTAACGACGAGTGGCTGGTACTCTACCAAGAGTGCCCCACTTTTCACTTCTGATCAACTAAGAATGTTTAGTCCTTTTCATCGCATTTGGGGTTGGCAATATTTTCAGTCTAGGTCGTTCACATACCCCTAGAATATCATCAGTCTTAAAAATGACCTATATCCGGAACTGTCTTAGTCCGTTTGTTCAGGTACGAGATTGGGTCATCCGAGTCCCCGTACGGCCAATCGAGACAGCAAAAAAAAAAAACAATAATAATAAACAAAAACAAATAAATAAATAAATAAGGATCCAGAACGCCACTCTCAGTTGAAGCATTGTGTTCCATACACGGGTTTTTTTAAAATGACCGTTCTTTAAGCTTACAGGACTACTTCGCGGTTTCCTCTTTTCAAGAGGGTGATCTATGCAGACCACCGAAGGATCAGTTCATGTTGTCCCGAAAAGACAAGGGTGTTTGCAGGATTAATATGTAGGGCTTGCTTCTCTTGAAGATTAGCTTTTGTCTGGAAAAGGAGGGGGTGATATCAGCAATCCTAAGGCGATCGATGAGCGATGTAGGTCCCACTCCTATTGCAGTACCCGCAGTGGGCCTTGTTTACCCAAGGCCTGATATAAGTGCATCGAACTCACTTCGCCCAAGCGCTCTCCACACTCCGAGTCCCGATGCAGACTTACCGTTCCTATACCGGTAACGGTGAGCATTGAATAGTAAGGTGACTGCAGAGGCGTGCTCAGCAGAGTTTGTTAAATCAACAAGTTGTCATGCAAGCCAACTCGCCTACACGTTTTCAGGGCTGGCGAATTCTCTCAGACAGATGCAGGCACATGGTATGTGAGCCGCGAGACATCATAGAGTAACTGGAGGAAGAAGAGAAACATCATTAGTTTTCTTCTTGACTGCACTTATTAACCCCAAAATCTCGTGGCAGTGGGTCCCTCGACAATCAGGGACAGAAACGATATTAGTTACACCACTCGCTTTAACATGTATGGGGTCTTTTCTACGCACTTGGCCAAACGGCGCGATCACACAAATTCAGGGGCGACGTCCGCGTAAGATTATCAACTTAGTCTTCTCTACCGATTGATGTGTCATTGCATAAACCCTTCATCACGCACGTGTTCAAAGTCTCAGCATCTTCAGTACCCTGCCTTTGCACACTCGACCGCTTTACTCTACGTACGCAACAGTATCTCACAGGCAAGCTGAGATCGGAAAACGACTGACGTCAACTGAATACAAGGGTATTCCTTTCAAAACCGGCTCACAATTTGTTCGCAAGCATTTATCCCCACTCACGTCATTGCCTAATCATCCCACTCTAATCGTCCCACTCTCTGCGAGGAAGAACTAGTTAGGGGCGGGAGCCAGTCTTAGGTACAACTTTTTCTTGGAACCCCAAGTACAACCCCAAAACTCGTTCACTTACATCACGGTCACACGGGACAACTCAATCCACTCGTTCTCTTGAGTAGGATGAGTTGCACAAGCTGATTTGCCTTACTATGCAGAGGCTAACTCCCACTGAGACTTCTCTATAACTAATGCTTGATTTATTGCACCTCTCTTCCCTCTTAACTCACCCTGATCACATATAGAAAGCACGTGGCCTCTTCGAGACCTACCTTTTCAGTTTAATCACCGCAAGTCAACCCAACTTGCTAGATGGCCGACGTTATCGGTGATGGGTGGGTCTCACCCGTCCACTACAAGCTAGGCCTCATATACAATTTAATTGTTGCCGTTAGTCGCAGTTCCATCCGAGAGGAGATATTCAAAGGTCGCGCTTTTACAAGAGCCTAGCTCTCCTTCTCTGTTCTGGCACTGTCTTTTCCATCACTCATCCTCGGTCTTGCTCATTCACGTTGGAGCACACTAAGGCACATGCCACATGTGATTGCCTCTCCACTATTGAGGGTATCAGCCAACCTGATGTCAAGAGTGTTGATCTCATTGGGGTATCCAGACCAAAGAGATACACATCATGCCTTTGTTGGTTGTAGGAGCTGACACACTGTCTCATTACCCTGCATCTCTGGTAAGCATGCCCATCGTCGAATGATTAGTGCAGTGTCGCGCTAGTCACACTCGGACTACTCGGAGTGCGCCCGTCCCTCTCTCTACTCAACTCTTCGGTATACGGCGCTTCCGCACTCGCACAGAGGCTCCCACGACATCTCATTGATCAAGTACTGGCTGATCGGAATGCGCGCGCAGACCCACTTTCTTTCTTCCACGTGCTCGAGAGGACTATAGTAGTGGTCCCTGCCCTGTGGACGAGCATCTACCTTGAGCCTGTTAGATGAGGTTATGGACTAGTCAAAAGTGCGTGCCAGAAACTCTCAATGATTCTCTTGCGCTCTGAGAGCCTAGTCCCTCTCCCTCCGATCGTAACTGACTCTCCCTCGTTCTCTCTTTCACACGCGTCCCCTCGCCCTAACTTCCCGCGTGCAGAAGTCAAGTTGACGTTAGCGTCCCAAGCATACATGCTGCACTCGCACATACCCGTCTAGTCTCTCTCTCGCGTGTGTATCCTACCCTTACTGTCTCTTTGTCCGCCGTCGTGAGTGAGCCTCGCATGACCGCCTGGCGGCCCTGGTCTCGTTCATGTCGTCGCGAGCTGGCCTCCGGGCCCCTATCCACGGGCTCCGCAGGCGGGTGATCTCGTCGCCACCGTTCCAGTCCATGCTAGGACTGAGTAGCCTCAGCGTCGCTTATCTCAGATTCACCTTCGGAGTTCTGGTCAACACGCTGCACCTCTCTGGTTGTAGTCCCAGTTGAAGAATCATCCTCATGGTAAGTGACTGTCACTCGCATTCTTGCAGTCACTTCGTCTCGCCTGCACCTCCGCTCAGCTCTATTGCGCGCCTCGGTAATCGCTGCATGCAGTCCCTCATCTCTCCTCATTTCTTGTTCCCTGTGGCCGCAGACATTAATTTTTAACCTCACCTCCCCTGTAGGCTTTCCGTAGGACAAAATGGTCTCGACCAATGTGCCCTTCTCATCCTCATGTTCCCACATCCAGGAGTACTTCATGTACCTCGGTCTGTAACCACGCAGGCCATTTCGATCTGCCATGGCCGTGTTCAGAATAGCCAGGGTCTCGATTCCAAGTGCACGTCCTTAGACAGCTCACGCCAGCCCTCACTACCCCGTCTTCCGACCTCAGACTAGCGACATTAACGCGACGAAATAGCCTGCGAGCACCTATAGACTAGCTGCCAAATCAGCCAAACTTCTCCCCCTTTTTGTCGCGATCCCCACGCTCTAAACGAGGAGCTCAATTAGCTTCTTTTTAAGATCCAGCATATTAACATTCTGTAGTTCAAGAAATAACAGAATAAAATAAAATAAAATTAAATTAAATTAATTAATTAAAATAAATAAAATAAATTTAATTAATTAAAATGAATAAAATAAAATAAAATAAAATGAAATGAAAAGAGCGAGAGGTCGATCCTTTAGTTATGTCGCACTCCAATTTCCCGTAAAAAAAGGTTGTAGTGGTGCCAACAGGTCCTTCCGTTGTCAACCACTTAGTCACTTCGTACCCCCGCGTGCAGCAATCATAAGTTCAGCACTTCGGTCCCATAACGGGACACGAATGGATATTCTCTTCCCTTCTAAACTTGTCGCCTAGCTACCCCTGACGGGTACCCGAGTCCGATGGCAAGGAGGGGGCTTATGACCTTCCACGGGGGGTGATAGGCTTCCTACCAAAGCGGCCACGGGTTACCCCTCTTTTGGGGTCGCACTGAGCGGTGCTCAGCCAAACAGGTCACTTGCAGTGAAAGGCGAAGGGTCGAGCCAGTTTGGGCCATAGGACGACAATCACAGTCCGAAAGTGAACCGTTGGCTTCCCAGCGAAGTGAAAGAGAGGAAGCCGCGCCTGGTGAATCAGCTAATAAGAAAAATAGTAATAGCAATAATAATAATAAAATTAACAAGATAGGGAAAGTAAGGAAATTATAACACCGCAGTGAACTGAAGCCACTGGATTTCCCTGAACTAACGCATGGGTTCAGATCCGCGCACAGATCCGACTCTTGACTCTTTTTTTCGCTTCTTCTTCGTTTTCTCTTTCTTTTACCGTACTTAATCCTTTTCCGCTTGACAGTGACAGCAACTCCATTCATCTAACCCGAAACCTCACTAAGGGAGAGCGCCAACTGGACCAGTTTTGCAGCCGTGCTCAACCCGACGGACCCTGGTACGCAGCGAGCTCGGTAGTGGGAATCCCTAGGTGGCGAATCCGATACTACGCAGCGAGCTCGGTAGTGGGAATCCCTAGGTGGCGAATCCGATACCACACTTGCAGGACTCTGAGCCCCTCTCGGCAGGGAGTCAGGTACGCAGTGGAGGGCCGGGAAACCGCGCACTCCGATAGCGTGCGTTGAGAGGCTGCGCTTACAGGGGCAAGTGCATTGCCTGAGTCGACCTGTGGGGTCGACCTGTGCCAACAAACAGCGCATGGTAGTGAACGACTACCTTCAGGACATTGAGTGTCTATTCTCGTATGTGGGAGGGAAACTGAGACATCGCGTCTCGTTCCTAGTCATCGATGATCTCCCAATGGACATTATGTTGGGTATGTACTATCTTTCGGTTGCACAGCCCCAGTTTGACTAGGACCGAAAAGTGGTCAAGCACATTTTGCCAGGTGGGGGGACTATCAAATTACGTAAGTTTAAGGCTAGTAGTCTAATCGAGTCCTACGGATGCATGTGTGCGGCCGCGTTTTACAATTATTATAAGCAAAATTCGGAGGAGGGTATGTACCTAGTTTATGTCTCTGTAACAGGCGAGCCGGTGAAAACGACGCTAGAGATAGAGGGAGTAATTGCTAAATGCCCTGATCTATTTGAAGAGCCAAAAGGGGTTGTTGAGAGGGAGGTCGTCCACGCAATAGATATTATCCGAGGGTCCAACACCCCGAAGGGTAGGATCTATCGGATGTCTCCAGGTGAACTTGATGAGCGTCGTCGGCAACTCAAGGAACTCGTAGAAAAAGGGTGGATCCGACTGAGTGTTTCCCCTTATGGATCTCCAATCCTGTTCGTACCAAAGAAGGGGGGAACGCGGAGGATGTGCATTGACTATAGGGGGCTCAATGTCATCACTGTCAAGAACCGAGAGCCCCTATCGCGCATCGATGACTTGCTAGATAGAGTGCAAGGGTGTCGATACTTCAATAAAATAGATCTGAAGTCCGGGTACCATCAGATTGCAATTCGGCCCGAGGATCAACACAAAATCGCTTTTCAGACCAGGTACGATAAGAGTTTGTGGTAATGCCTTTCGGCCTTTCCAATGCTCCTGGCACCTTTTTTTTTTTTTTTTTTAAAGAGTTGTGGAGGTGTCGGGGATTCAGCTCTTCAGCACGCTACGAATTGGATCTTTCATGACTACTGGGATAAGTTTTTCATCGTGTACCTCAATGCCATACTTATTTTTAGTAGGACCGTCGAGGAGCATGTTGCGCACTTAGACAAAGTCCTCAGTCTCCTTCGGCAGCACAAGTTCAAGATCAATGGGGAGAAATGCGAGTTTGGTCGCACCCAAATCTTGTACTTGGGTCATGAGATTTCCGCGGAGGGTTTGAAGCCCGATGACGCGAAGGTGGCCAACATTCGTGACTGGCCGCGTCCTCAGTCTGTGACTGAGATGAGGTCTTTCTTAGGGATGACTAACTACTACCGTAACTTTGTTAAGAACTATAGTATAGTGGCCGCCCCTTTGACTGACCTAACTCGCCTTGACACCGCGTGGGAGTGGGCAGACAGGTGTGAGGCTGCTTTCAGACATCTGAAGCATGCGTTGACACACCATGAGGTCTTAGAACTTCCTGATCCTGACAAGCCGTTCATATTAACCACGGATGCTAGCCAATATGGCATTGGTGTCGTGCTCGCGCAGCAGGAGAGCCTAAAGTTGAGGCCAGTCGAGTACATGTCCAAAAAAATGCCGTCTCAGAAGTTGGTTAACAAGGCACTGACCCATTGGAGAACTGACCATCAGACCCTGAAGTGGATGAGAACCCAGCCAGTGCTCTCCGATGCATTGAAGCGCTGGATCGAAGTCATTGAACAGTATGACTTCGAACCGCAGTATCTGAAAGGGGAGTACAACAAAGTTGCTGATGCCTTATCGTGTAGGCCTGATTTCTCTGGTGCGCTGATCACCAAGTTGGGACTTGCGGACGATGTCACTCACTCTTTGGTTGAAGCCTATCGCTAGGACCAGTTCATGGCTGAGATCATACGCAGACTCGAGGCGAAGGAGAAGGTGACTTCAGCCGAGTTTGAGATGGTCAATGGCCTGCTGTTTCTTGAGAAGGAAGGGAATAAACGTCTGTGTGTGCCGGATAGAGAGTCTTTGCGTAGTTTATTTTTAGGCGAATGTCATGATGCCACCAGACATTTTGGTTTCAAGAAGACTGCAGCCAACCTGTTGCAGCGATTCTAATGGCCCACGATGATGAAAGATCCCAAACTGTATGTTGAGACTTGTCAAGTTTGTCAACGTGACAAGCCCCGGACACAGTCTCCGCTTGGGCTGCTCAAGCCCCTTCCAATTCCGGAAAGGCCTGGTGAAAGCCTGTCCATGGACTTCATGGATACGCTAGTCACCAGCAAGAGCGGCAAGAGGTACATCTACGTCATCGTGGATAGATTTAGTAAGTATGCTAGGTTAGTTGCCATGCCGGAAACAACAAAGGCCAAGTACGTTATCAAGCTATTTAAGGAAAACTGGGTTAGAGATTTTGGCCTAGCTAAGTCTATAATCAGCGACAGGGATGTCCGATTCACAAGTGATCTGTGGAAGGCCGCAGCTGCCGAACAGATGACATTTGGAAACCATCCGGAGGCAAATGGACAGGCAGAACAGATGAATTGCGCTGTTCAACACTTGCTGAGGCATTACATTAAGCCTAATCAAGTGGACTGGGATGAGAAGCTCGCTCTCATTGCCAGCCTGTACAACAATACAGTTCACAGCGCTAGGGGAGTAAGTCCTAACAGCCTACTACTAACGTTCAAACCTAGACTCGCTGTTACATGCCCAGTTGGGCGATGTACATAGAAACCGAGGATCCGCAATGTGATGAAAAGGACTGAATGGACAATGTCTTGACAAGCAATGTGCATTCTAATACATACAAAATGGTGCTGAATAGCGCAGGGAACACTTAGATACAAATCCTGACCTGACCGGGACTGACCTCATTCACATAGTACAGATAGCGAAGCAGAATGCTCGAATGCTAATGACTAGCCCAATCAATGTTTGAACGCAGACCAAACATACATCGTATCCATCACCAGGTGTGAAGGAGCCTGGCGCTGTACACGGGAAGAAAGCGCCAGGTCCAGACAGACACAGACGAAGAGGAGGGAATCAGACGAAGAGGAGGGAATCAGACGAAGAGGAGAGGGAGAGATGGGAATGTCGTCAACACCAAGTCTTTGTCACAAGTCCCAGATAATCCCTCGTTGCAATGTCTGACGTCCAAAAGTCGAGTCTGGATCCAATGTCACCAAGCTCTTTCTCTCATCTCTCGTAGTCTGCAGATGCAGTGAAGTCAGATGATGAGAGGGTGAGAGGGAGATGGTGGACTGAGAAGTGGAAGAAGAAGCACTCTCTCTCTCTGTTACGAGCCAGGAACTAACCTGTGATGTTGGCGCTGTGCTGCAGGTACCTCGAAGACGAAGCTGGAGCAACGGCGCTGCAGGTAAGTACCTCTGGCCTCCGCCCAATCTCTCTCTCTCTCTCTAGTGCTATCCTAGCTATGGCGCCCAGCGCTGGAGACTACAGCTACCTACTGCGCCCAGCGCTGAAGACTAAAGGCTAACGCTACTACTACTCCTGCAGCGCTCCCTCCAGAGTGCTGCGGCCGAATCCTGAAGACTACTACTGCCTCCTGCCTGCCCGTGAAGTGCATGGGAAGTCCCTATGTACTATCTCGGCCTGCCTCCTGACTGCCTGCAGGGCGAGCCAGGCCGAGAAGGCTGCTCTTGCCAATGCCGAAGTGTGCCAGGGGCTGGCTGCAGCAGCTGGTGAGGCTGGCGTGGGGAACAGGCTAAGAATAGCCTGTTCCCGAAACCCTGGTTCGGTGCCTGAGTTTCAGGGCCGGTCGTTCTGATGAACGACCGAAAATGGCCCTTCGTTTCAGGCTAAAAAGGCTATTGCCATTTTTAGTCTGAAGCGATACAGGGACTGTAGGCCCCTGTTTTCAGGCTTTCGGGCTGAACAGTTACGGGGCCTGTTGGCCCTGGTTTTCAGGCTTTTAACCTGAATTTCAGGCTTTCAGCCTGAGGGACGCAGGGCCTGGAAAATGGCCCTCGTGTGCAGGCGCAGCATGTAACACTCCCTCTCGACTTTTTGCTACCTGACAATCAGCCAACTGCTGCTCCAAGAACTTTGGAATTTGCTTATAGATATGAGAAGCATATGCAACAGGCTGTAGAGCACATGCACAGTGCACAGGCGGCGATGATCGAATCTGAGAACAAACACCGCCGCCCATCCACGTTTCAGGTAGGGGACAGAGTCTGGGTCAAGGCTTCTGAACTGGGACAGGAGCACGGGATCTCCCGTAAGCTCATGCCACAGTATTTTGGGCCATGGGAAGTTCTGGATGTAGTTGGGAATGAACCAGACGGGCCCTCACCTTCGTACCTACCCTGTTTTTCACGCCGCTAAGTTGGCACCGTCCAAAGAAACTGATCAGTTTCCCACTCGTCGCTCAATGCTGTCCCCAACAATGAATGGAGAAGTCGACATTGATGACATCGTGGATCACAGAGAAATGCCAGTTCCAAGACCTACCGGCAGGGGACGTCCTCCGAAACCGAAGCTGCAGTATCGCGTTCGGTTCAGACATCACACTGATCCTAAGGAGGATAGTTGGTTTACACGGGAGGTACTGATGCAGACTGCTCCACAGGTTGTCGCCCACTACAAGAAGTTACTGCAGAAAGGAAAGCACCAATTGACTAAACTTCTCAGAGGACTAGCAAAGTATGGATGAGGGAATGCGAGGCACAAGGCCTCGGTAAGCCCTACTGGGACCCTATTTGCAACAGTGTCGGCCGCCCTAAGTGAAGGCAGGCTCGACAGACGACCAGAGGCCTATTTTGGACTACCACACAACTGGGGGAAAATATTCAGGCAGTTGCACAGCGCCAGTTGGTTGAAAGCGCCCAGGCCCTGGCCTTCTTTATCAAATGCATCTGAGTCAGGCCCTGGGCGAGAAACGCAGCGTGGACCCAACTCAGACTGTAGGCAGCTGGGCACGGGTAACTGTCACAGGCCCTGGGCCTGATTCGTTTGGACTGGGGCTCAGCCTCTCTGGGCCTACCGGAAGCTTCTGGGCAGGGGCCCAGCACAGCCAGGCTGCACCCAAGGCAGGCAGGCGGCTTCCATTTAGGAAAGGGCCTGCCCACGCATTCGGCATTCGGGCACTGGCTGCATGCTGCGCAAGCGCTGCTGCGCTAACGCTGGCCAGCGCTCACGCGCTCATGGGCGAGCTGGAAGGAGCAGGCAGTCATAGCCGAGCTGCGCTGCTGTATGCTGGATGGGGCGCATGGTGGTTTGGGTGCATGTGGCATCTGTGAGTTGGGGATCGAGGTTGTGAGTGATACGAGAGACATACCTGGTGCTTGAGGCGAATGGCATTGGCCGAGATCTGCTCGTACTTCGGGGAGCTGTTGACGTCATCAGCGGCATTGTAGATAGGCTAGATAGGATCTGCCATCTGTAGTCTGGGCGCCGAGCGCCAGATAGGATATCGACATTGGTTCTTTGTTGATGATGATGAGACTATTCCAGCATTGTCAATTATGAGCTTTTGCTGTGCTCTTATTTGGTGGAACTCGTGATGCGATTCTGCTATTGGTTCGAGGTCGCTACTATCTGGTCTCATGTGTATGATGCTGTTTGATTTCTGAAGTTCGCTATCGCTCATTTTCCTTGCACAATTCTCAGAATTACCAAAAGCCAGCTTCAGTCTCAACCCTCATGCAATGTATACGTGGAGACATTTCAAAGGGCAAGGGAAGAGTCAGCTCTTTGGAGGCAGTGAGAATGAAGGGCTCTGCAGGTGAGAGCCAGAATGACGGACAATAAGCTTAATGAATGTCCAAGCACTTTTTCGCTAGATCAAGGCTAATTATAGAGCTAACAGTATCGACTGCTTAAAACAGACTGACGGTAAAACAGACTGACGGGGCACAGGATATTCTTAGAGACAGTCAGGGTATGCTCACAGTGGCCAAGACTTTCTATGCCGAGCTATACCACTGTAAGACGTCAACCCCCACCCTGCCCAATAATCAAGAGGGCCTTAGCCAAAATGCTGCAACATCTTGACAGAACAGTCTCCGGAGCAGGCCAAAATGTTGGACAAACCACTCTCTCTAGAAGAACTTCAGTGTGCAGAGCAACAACAAAACTCCTAGAATTGATGGATTAGCAAAAGAGTTTTGGGATAAATTTTGACCTTCTACAAGGACAGCTGCACAAGGGGGGATTGGGTGGGTTCCTAAGCAGCAGCGTGGTCACACTATATAAGGGGAGAGAGAAGACATCTGAAATCCTAGCTAAAGCCCTACTGTGGCATACTCAATACCACACGGGCCCTGCCGGGCACGACCAGGTAGGGTTAGGGGTTAGTAGGGCTAGCATTGATCCGGGATAGTGTTGTTTTGGCTCACACTGGGGCCCATAGGTTCGGGTTAGGACCAGGACCCAATTAGAGGCCGAGTTAGAACCGATTAGCACTAGGCCCTGGCGCGTCGTTTCAGTTAGCGCCAGGCCCTCGGACAGACGAGCGCTGTCCAGCCCAGTTAGGCCCAGTTTTGTGCCGACCCTGATTCGGGTCTGCAGCAGTTTAGGCGCCAGGACCCTTGGCGCCACAGGTTTCCATCTTGGCGCCTGCTCGGTAGAGGCCCTGGCTTCGGATGGCCGGCCTCCAGGCAGTCCAGCGCTATTTATAGCTGGTCTTCCTGGCATTCAGCAGACATTCTTCAGGAGTAGTCGTTGTCGACTAGGTAGATTGGCTCTCGAGCTTGGGCTGCAGTACGCTGCAGCGAGGTTGGGAGTAGGGCGTCTATGGGTGGAGGTGCGGGGGGCTTACCTTACGACTTACCTGCGGCTCCATTGCTACAGCTTAGTCTTCAGCATGTCCATACCTGCATCAAGGAGACACCTTTCACAGGTTAGTCCCTGAATCCTCACAGACACACACACACACACACACACACACACACACACGGAGAGAGAGAGAGAGAGAGAGAGCTTCTTCTTCCTCCTCCTGTAGTCCATCGCTCTCCTCCTTCCCCTCCAGCTCTCTAGTCTGTTTCTTCTTCTGGCAGAGAGAGAGAGAGAGAGATCTTCTTCCTCTTCCTCCTTCCGTAGTCCATCGCTCTCCTGCTTCCCCTCCAGCGCTCTAGTCTGTTTCTTCTTCTGGCTGTGTGTGTGTGTGTGTGTGTGTGTGTGTGTGTGTGTGTGTGTGTGTGTGTGTGTGTGAGAGAGAGAGAGAGAGAGAGAGATGAGCGATACAAGTTTGGTTGTCACTTACCTGTGAAGCGAGCTGAGCAGACCCACGAAGGAAGTGGCCATAGCCGCGAAGCTGTACCACGGAGTGACGAAGGCGGACAGAGAGGAGGGACCGAGGAGAGAGATAGAGGAAGAAGTGTGGAAGGAGGGACATCTGAGAAGAAAGACATAGCCGAGGGTGACAAAAAAAAAAAAAAAAAAGAGAGATAGAGAAAGGAAGAAGAAGGTGAAGGGGGAGGAAGGAGAAGACAAGGGTGGCGAAGGAGAAGGTGCCGGTAGCCATAGCCGAGGTCGAGAGTTGACCGGAGGGTTGACCGGATGTTGATCGGAAGGTTGACCGGGGTCTTGCAGCGTTGACCAATCGTTGACCGATTTGACCGGCGTCGTTGACCAAGACTTTGACCAAGCTGGAGATGGTAACATCTCGCCAAGCCCTTAGCCTACCCCCTCACCCTGTGGATTTGCACTCACCCTACGGTACTTGCTGAGTCTGAGTCTGTCTGTCTATTCTTTCTGCATCGAGTCCCTTTTGTCCTAGGTGATAGCACTATGTGGATGGAGGATACTGCTTGGATGACGAAACCCTAGTCTGACCTTGTAGGGCTGAGACTGTGGCTGATCCAACTTTCCAGGGGGGCATAACCCTCCCAAGGACCGGTACTGACCGGCTGGAAACGGTTGGTAGGATTCAGTGGGCCTGAATGGCAGGTAGGGCTGACACACCAGGCAGTCTTTAAGTATTGAGGGCATGTTTGAACCACTCCCCTACCGGACCAAGTAAGGCTGAGGATCTGTGTCTCACGACTCGACTGTCCCAGGGGATACGAACCCTCCCAAGGACCGGTACAGACCGGCGGGCTGCTCGGTGTGGCACAGTAGGCCGGAAAGGCTGAGTTGTGGGCTGAAAGCACAGGCAAAACCAAGTTGATCACGTCGTCCTGTCTGCGACGTCAAAGAATTCTTGCGGAGTTAAGGGGGATCTCCTTAAATGCCTCCAGATCAGCCACTGGTTCAGTAGTGACAGCCTTAGAGTAGGTCTAGGCTAGTGACCATAGCTGACACGGTTCTACCCTGTGGTCCTTACAGAGTCTGTCAGTGAGTCTGTGGGTTGTTCTAAGTGGTGAGGAGTGGGACTGTCCTATCGTGCAACGAGGGCAGTATAGTGGGAGTAAAACTGATGAGATGGAGAAAGGGATCTCAGAGTGGGTCGCCAACTTGTCTTTGGGAGAAGAGGAGGAGGTTGCCATGAATATCCCCAAGGACGAACAGGAGGCTGCCATGAAAGAGTGGGATGTGGAAGAAGATGCCTTGAAGCGGCAGGCAATGGAGGATGAAAAAAGAATGGAGTGGAAGCTCAGAATGATGAGGGAAAAGAAGAGGAGAGTGGAAGCAGCGAGTGAGGCGGACAGGGAACTAGAGCAAGTAAAAAACTTGAGAGAGCAGATGGCCGCCCAGGTGGATCTCCAACGAAAGGTGGAGTTCATTGCCCAGAGTAATGAGCGCTTAGCCCGGGTACAGGGAGAACAGTATGAGTTTAATAGAAGTCAGGATATGGTCGTGCGCTCGATGCGGATGGGATTTCAAGACCTTGCCCGCGAAGTGGTAGGCGCAGTAGGGGCCGAGGTGAACCATCGCCTTGAGAAGACAGAACGATTCTGCGTGGGTGCCATTGAAGGCGTCAAGCTGACCGCTCCCAAGGAGGAAGAGGCACGTCCTCGTAGGGAACCAGTCAAAGTCAAGTTCCCCGATTCCTACAGTGGAAAAAGGGAAGAGAACTTTGACAATTGGGAAGCCAACGTCAAGACCTATGTGCATTTGCAACAGGTCTCCCCGGATCAGCACGTGCTAATTGCCATTCATGCGCTTAGAGATGAGGCTGCCAGTTTCGCAAGGTCCCCAGTCCGCGCTGCTAACTGCAATAATGATGCAGTTGCCTACTCATCGTTCACTCCCCTCGTGGATTTCATGAAATTGCTGCGCGAGCGATTTGCTGATGTCGCTCGCAGTGTCAAGGCCTCAGATAAGCTCCAGACCATCCATTCTCGTAAATGGAAGAGTGTCAGGGCCCTCAAGGGCGTAATGGACGAATTGGTGGCTGTTCCTGACCACAGGGTCACAAAGACCCAATTGGTCGGCCTCAAGGGCAATTCTTCGCAAAGAGTGAAGATCCTGCCACCACTTATGATTCCCTTAGCCGTGAAGTGGTGGCTTTTGAGGCAAAGTCAGTGTCACTTTCTACCTTCTGGCACAGAGACTTAGACAAGGGAAAGCAATGGAAAGGTCGCACTATCTCAAGGCAAGTTAAGACTAAAGATAGTCTTGTCCTCACTCTAGACGAAGGTAGTGTTGACGAGATCCCCTACGAGCAGATTGAGTGGGGGCTAGAGGACAATGACAGTAGCATTAGTCAGGGGAGGACCTACGCTGCTGTTGCGGCTGGAGGGAGGCCGCAAGGAGGAGGACGAGGCCACGGCCAAGGGGGCCGGGCCTCAGGGAACCGTTCTCAGGGCGATCAGGGGGTCGGCGGCAGAGGAGGAAACCGCCAAGCGGGAGGAAGGGGTCAAGGTCCCCCGCAAAACCGGTCTGGGAATAGGTCCCTTTATAGGAGAAGTGGTTGGCACCCAGGGCTGCCTCAAGGCAAGCCTTGGGAAGATTTGGGTCTGGACCAGGGCATATGGCAACAGCGTGTGAGCCAGGGGCAGTGTATTTATTGCGGTGACCCTAGCCACATCATTAAATATTGTCCGAAGTATAGGGAGACCCGATTGGCTGCTCAAGGGCCAAAAGGCAGCCGCCGGTAGGGGTAGCAACTGCCCTTACCACGAGGCCATGTGGGGAATGCAGCGCTAGCCGGCAGGAGACTCCCACACCACATGTGCCTATGGCAGAGGTTGCAGGCCGGTGTCTAGATAGCTGTACAGAGACTGTTTGTGCTAGAGTCTCTCTAGACACCTCCCTCACAGGCGTGGCTGAAGAATTGAAGGAGAGGATGCCCGCCTGGGCCAAGATGAAAAAGGAGAATAAAGGGCAGCTTATATTAGTAGATACAGAGATTTTTAGAGGACGAGCAGGCGCCTTAGTGGATAGTGGAGCCACCCGTAGTTATATTAGTAGGAAGGCGCTACAGAAGCTGAAGTTGCAGTTAAAGGTCCAAAGACTAGCAGACCCCATAGTTAGTATCCTCGCGGACAATCGCACCATGCGAGTGGAGGAATACGTAGAGGGAGTCCAGGCGTATTTCCGCCTAGAACAGGATGGGAAGGTGGAGAAGGTCCTCCATTCCCTGACTCTCCTCGTAGAGGATAGCCTCCCGTTTGACGTAGTCCTAGGTATGGACTGGGGAGAGGCAGCAGGGGCCACACTCCTTTTGAGAGAACACGAGTGTAGGCTCCCTTGTCCATCAGGCGGCGTCAAGACTTCCCGTCTGTTCCATGTGTCAGGAGTAGACAACTCCCTGGCACATTGCTGCCTTAGTGCTCCTGCGTTCGCAAGGCTCGTGAAGAAGGAGCAACTAGAGGAACAGGTTTTTGTATCCTATGTTAGGCCAGTAACTGAGCCTAAGGAAGAAAAGCCTATAGACCCTGCTATTGCCAAGCTGCTGGAGGAGTTTAAAGATCTAGCTGAGCCGCCGATAGGAGTAGTACCACAACCTATCCAGCACCGCATTGAAATTGAGCCTGGCAGCAGAACTCCCAAAGGAGCCGTGTATAGGATGTCCCCGCGGGAGTTAGAGGAGTTGCGCAAGCAATTAGACGAGCTCCTCGAGAAGGGTTGGATTAGGCGCAGTTCGTCTCCGTTTGGAGCACCTGTTCTGTTCGTTCCCAAGAAAGAGGGAGAGCTTAGGATGTGCATAGACTATAGGGGTCTGAATGCTATCACAGTTAAGAATGTTGAACCACTACCCAGGATAGACGATCTTTTGGATCGAGTGCAGGGGTGCAGATATTTTACAAAGATAGATTTGAAGTCCGGATATCATCAGATAGAGGTTCATCCTGATGATCAGTATAAAACAACTTTCCGGACCAGATACGGGCACGACAAGTTCATCGTGATGCCCTTTGGACTAACTAACGCGCCAGCGACTTTTCAGCGATGCATGAATGACCTGTTTAGGCCTTGGTTAGATAGGTTTGTTGTAGTGTATTTAGACGTTATCCTAGTGTTTGGCAAGACCCTCGAAGAGCATCAGGGTCATCTCAGGCAGGTCTTGGAGAAGCTGAGAGAAGCTAACTTCAAGATCAACGCAAAGAAGTGCGAATGGGCGAAGACCCAAGTGTTATATTTAGGCCACGTCTTAGACGGAGACGGCATCAAGCCAGAGGATAGCAAGATCGCATCGATCAGAGATTGGCCTACGCCGCGTACGTTAACCGAGTTGCGGTCGTTCCTAGGCCTAGCAAACTATAATAGGAAGTTCGTACGGAACTTCTCCACTATCGCGGCGCCCCTTTGCAGATTGTTGAGGAAAGAGACTATCTGGAAGTGGGACAAGGACTGTAAGGACTGTACGTCTGCTATGAAGAAGTTGAAGTAGGCCCTAATAGAGTATCCAATCCTTAAGGTAGTCGATCCGTCCTTACCCTTTGTCGTCACTACGGACTACTAGCCAGTACGGCATAGGTGTTGTTTTGCAGGAAGACGATGGCAATGGTTATAGGCCCGTAGAGTTCATGTCTGCTAGGATGCCTTCAGAAAAGGTTGCGACATCTACCTACGAGAGGGAACTCTACGCTCTCAGGCAAGCGCTAGAACACTGGAAGCACTACTTGCTTGGGAGGCACTTCAAAGTCTATTCTGACCATGAGACATTAAGATGGYTAAAGACGCAGGCCAAGATGACACCTAAGCTTACTAGGTGGGCCGCAAAAATAGACCAGTATGATTTTGAGCTCAAGCCAGTCAAGGGTAAATACAATGTAGTTGCGGACGCTTTGAGCAGGAGAGCTGACTATTTTGGAGCGATAGTTCACTATCTGGACATAGGGAGAGACCTGCAGGAAAAAGTTAAAGAAGCATATGCGCAGGACCCTATCTATAGTGACCTCCTCAAGCGAGCAACGGAGGCCCCAGAAACCGAGCCAGATTACCGCACTACTAATGGACTGTTATTCGAGAAGACTAACGTAGTTGACCGTCTGTGCATTCCCAATAGTGAGGAGATCCGCAGTCTGATCTTAGGAGAACGTCACGACACAGAAGGTCATTTTGGCTGGCAAAAGACTCTAGCCAATCTAATGCACTCGTACACATGGCCTGGGATGAAGAGTGACTGCATAGAGTATGTGCGCAGTTGTAAAGTTTGCCAGCGGAGTAAGACTACTACGCGTGCCCCACTAGGTCTTCTCAGACCCTTGCCTATTCCGGATCAGCCCGGAGATTCAGTGTCCATCGACTTTATGGACACAGGCGTCAAGAGTAGGCATGGCAAGAGCCAAGTCATGGTGATAGCCGATAGATTCAGTAAGTATGCTGTTTTTGTACCTTTGCCTTTAGAGGCCCGAACCGAATTAATAATCCATAAGTTCTTTGATCACTGGGTCAGTGAGCACGGGGTCCCATTGTCCATAGTTAGTGATAGAGACACCCGGTTCACAAGTCAGAACTGGCAGGAATTGATGAGAGTCTATGGCTCTAAGTTGTTGATGTCGTGTGGCCGTCATCCAGAGACCAACGGTCAGACTGAACAGATGAATAAGATCCTGCAGCAAGTTCTAAGAATGTATATTAGACCTGATCAAGTTGACTGGGATGAGATGCTCCCCAAGGTAGCCAGTGCTTACAACAATAGTGTGCATCTGTCTACGTGCCGCACTCCCAACGAGCTGCATAAGTCCTTTAGGCCTCGCAGACCGTTTGAAGGACTCAACCGGGATCAGATTCATAGGCTACCGCCCGGTACTCGGGAGTTTGCGATCCAGCACGAGAAAGAACTAGCTACTGTTGTAGAGAACCTCAAGAAGGCCCAGCATAGGATGATAGAGCAAGCCAACAAACATCGTCGCCCGTCGCAGTTTCAAGTAGGCGACTTAGTCTGGGTCAAGGCTAAGGAATTTGCTCCTGAGGAGAACATCTTGCAAAAGTTACTGCCCGCGTATAGAGGACCGTGTCCAGTCCTAGAAGTCAAGGTCGGAGAAGATGGTCCGTCCTACTCAATAGAGATTCCACTACACCTCCACACCTACCCAGTTTTCCATGTGTCAAAGTTGTTGCCGTGCACAGTAAGTGATCAGTTTCCATCTAGGCGTTCCATGATCCCTCCAGACATGAATGAGCGGTACGACATTGACGGCATTGTAGGTGAAGATGTGTTTAGAACAGGGGGTCGAGGTCGTCCTCAGAAACAGTATAAAGTCAGGTTTGCATATCAGGAACCAGAAGACGACCGGTGGTTCACCAGGACTGAACTGCTAGAAACAGCTCCCGATATAGTCAAGGCCTACGAAAGGGACAAGAAAGGTAAAGGCCCGGCCTTGGACTAAAATGTTATCGGAGGACCTCGAATTTAGGTCGGCGTAGCCCTAGCGATAGGATAGAGGTAGCCAGCGCTGCCATAGCTGCAGCTTAGGACGAGGTGTGTGTGTGTGTTGTGTGAGTGATCAGAGTGTTGCGTGTGGGATATCCAGGGTGGTCCAGTGCGTGTGAACAGTGCGTTGTTGGGCGCTGAGTCCCCATAACCAGAGGAAGTGAACTCTTACCTAGAAGCAATATCTCTGAGTACTGTGTGGGTGCATGTCGCCAGTTTGCTGTGCTGCTGTTCACGTGCATGAAAAGTGTGAATGAGACGAGTCTGATTGCACTCTCAACGAAGCTGCAAAAAAGGTGATGGAGAAGAGACTTTAGACAGCTATCCTACTCTTCGACTTTGAGAAGGTATATGACCAATTCAATTGGGCCTTCCTCAATGCGAGCATGGAAAATATCAGGGTGTGCCCCAACTTTGGAAAATGGGTGTGAATCCTTTATAATGACGCGGTAGGATGCCGGACCAAGACATAAAAGAACTGGAAGTGGACCCATCGGAATGGGGGTGGCTCGTTCCTAGCAACAAAGGAGGAGCTAGAAAGCTCACACCAGTCTACGACTATGAAGTGAAAACAGGGTACAAATTAAGAAATCAAACGAAAGACCCCCAACCAATAATTTCAGAAAGAACTTGGGGGAAAACACAGATTGGGGAGGCAAAATCCCATGAAACCAGTACGCCAGTATAAGACCAACAAAGATCAAAAGCCTGCAATGACTTGTACTATATTGGGCACTTCCAGTCAATCAATGGCTGAGCAAAAGAAAGAAACAGGAAGACCCCCAGCAACAATCGGCATGGCGCAAAGTGTGCAGTGAGAACACTGAGGATTGCAACATTGTTTAATACAATGCCGGGGGCCCCAAGAACTCTGGGATAGAACCAAATCCTTGTGGAATGATCTACTAAGCCCAGACTACCCAGCAAGCACAAAGTATCTGCTGGCGGGAAGGAAAGAAGAAGAAGACTTGGAAGAAGAGGAAGCAGTCCTTGCAGACCTATGGAGAAGAGCGACCCTGTGGGTAATCTGGAAAGCGAGATGCAAAGGCACTTTGACCGGGCAAAATACCAGTTTGGAAGAAAAATGGACCGAAACCAAAACCATAATTCAAACAGAGACAAGAGCGCAATGGAGTAGGGAACAAAAAGCGCAACAAAAAATACTCCAGCCAGAGAAGCGAGAAAGGAGCCAAAGGAACTTTGAAAGAATCTGGCTCAGCAAAAACAGAGTTGCAGAGATAGTGAAGGGCAAAATCCAATTTAAAAATTGGTCTTAAACAAAAGATCCAGACTCCGAACCCCTCCTACTCCCCACTATGCCCCGCACAACCCTTTCAATAGTTCAGAAACATGCACAGTCTGCACGGAGGGGGCGGTAGAGGACATAGTTCACTGTCTAGTGTATTCCAAGGACATAGTTCACTGTCTAGTGTATTCCAAGGACATAGTTCACTGTCTAGTGTATTCCAAGGAGGCGACAGAATACTGGCCGAGAGCCTTGGTACTCTGGGACTCACTCTTCTCAACCCCCTTCCCTGAGCAGCCCATCCAACTTCTCCTTTTGACTAACATCCCTGATCAGATTCGAAAGACAGAGAAGGTCCGGTTCAGACTCATCAGGAAGGAAACGCTGCGGGTCAAATGGAAAAAGAGATGCAGCGGAACAATTGAAGGACGGTCAAGCCCACGGGAGAAGGTTTGGGTGGAAACCGGAACGATGATAGAAGCCGAGATCCTTTGCAGATGGAGGAAGATCAAGCAAGCCTGGACAGAAGACAAAGAACAGCGTAAGAACGAGAGACTGAGGTTGTACAAGAATTGTTTGTTAAACGTGAAACAGCTTTCACCTTTGGCAGTAGCCGATGCAGATCCCAGGGGTCGATCCCTTGACCTCAGCTTACCTGTGTACAGTATCTGTACAGTTCCCTGGAGTTGAACCCGTGACCTGCACGATAGCCAGTGGTAAGTAGGTCACCGTAGGTTGTAGGCTGTAGGAAGATTCGAACTGTAGACCTGTAGGGTAAGAGTCCAAGTAGAGTCCAGAAGCCCAGCTTTAGTCCTTCTAGAAGGTTGGCAAGTGGTCAAGTGGTGAGTCTAAGGTA